AAAGGCTAGAGATGGTGTCTCGATAAAAATACTCATCTTGGGCAGATGTTAAATGCATCCGGCTGCTGTCTTGTAGAAGGCCTCCTAGGCAAAGACTTAAGGGGTAAACAGATTCTATCTGTTGACCAGCCTTGCACCCCTTCTCCATCTATTAGGCTGGCGCAGATGTATTTTTAATACATTGTTTCCAGTTTAGGATGTTGAACGCTGGATCTTCTTGACTCGATGCATGGGTTTTGCTTGTGTCTCTGTTTTTATGACTAGGCAACTCATTCTATTATCTCCAAATGAGGGTACAGCTCTAAAACTCAGTTTTATGGTTCTAAAGACGGCTGGTCGTCAGGTTTCCCGAGCTCTGTGGTAGCTTTCAGAGATGCTGATTCCATCAACAGCTGAAAAATATCAGAGTACTAACAGTGCCATGTTGCGCATAGATGGTGTCCCTGTTTGTACTTTTGGTGTGCATTGCCAAGGCCACATTGGAGCCCTTTGTTATGGCTTAGGGTTTATTAGTGGAAATGAGGCAATTGCTTGGGCTATAAAACAGTGTACTGAGTACTATCTATGTTTCGAGTCAAGTTCTTTAACAAATTTAAAAATGAATAAAGTAACAAAAACTATAAAACTCAAAAAACCACAGTCATCACCAAGTTCGCTAAACCTATCATTCACCAATATTCGTGGTCTTTGAAGTAACTTTTCTTCTGTTGAGTCTTATTTCTTGCAAAGTTCACCAGACCTACTTGCTCTTTGTGAGACTAATTTGAGTTCAGCTGTCTCATCTTGTGATCTTAGTGTTGATGGTTATCTTCCTTTAATTTGTAAAGACTCCAATAGTCATATGCTTGGCCTAGGCATTTACATTCGTAAGAATTCACCCATTTGTCGGGAAACTAGGTTTGAATCCACAGACTACTCTTTTATGTGCTTTCGTTTAGCACCACTTCACTCTATCACCTTTCTCTTTGTTCTACATTGCTCTCCTTCATCTCAAGACTGATTTGAGTTGTCTGGAAAGCGAGTTGGAAAGTTGACTATTTGAGTTAGGGATTGAGAAAGGCAAAAGTTGTGGGCCTTAATGCCTGTGGAGTCACTGACACTAGAGCCAAGCCATTCAGTCAAATCTTCTTGATGTTATTTCTGATTATATTGACCAAGCCCTCATTCTTTATCCATCAGCCAATATTGTTGTTGTCGGTGACTTTAATGTTCATCACACTGAATGGCTTGGCTCTAGTGTCAGTGACTCCACAGGCATTAAGGCCAACAACTTTTGCCTTTCTCAATCCCTAACTCAAATAGTCAACTTTCCAACTCGCTTTCCAGACAACCCGAATCATTTACCTTCTCTAGTCGACTTATGTCTTGTTTCTAATCCTAGTCAGTGCTCAGTTCCTCCACACTCACCCTTAGGTGCGTCTGATCATGGTTTGGTCTCTCTAAAACTATTATCTCATTCTTCTTTACCATCAGAATCCTCCTATCATTGTACATCTTACAACTACCTTAAAGCTGACTAGGACTCTTTCCGTGATTTTCTTCGTGATGGCCCCTGGGTAGAAATGTTTCGCCTTCCTGTTGACAAATGTGCTTCTTACATAACTTTGTGGATTCAGGCTGGCATGTAATCCTTTATTCCCTCTCGACAATTCCAGGTCAAGCCTCACTATTCTCCATGGTTTTCCTCACATTGTGCTGCTGCAATTGCTAATTGAAACCATATCTATCAGCAAAACAATTCTCCAGAAAACAGACGTCTGTTTATTACTGCTAGGAACCATTGTAAAAAGGTTTTGTCTAACGCCAAAGCCTGCTATTCTCGGATCATGAAATCTCGTATTTCATCACAAAAATTAGGCTCTCGTGAATTCTGGAGAATCTTTAATAGTATCAATAATAAATATAAGGGCAAGTCTGTAATTCCACCACTTTTGTACGGTTCAGACTTTGTCACCTTACCTAAAGACAAAGCTGAATTGTTTGCCAAGAATTTTTCATCAATATCATCTCTGGATTCCATTAGTTGCGTTCTACCTGATATAGCCGTCAAACAGGTTGATCCACTGCTCGACATCCGTATCACTCCAGCTTCTGTATCTAAAGTGATTTCCTGCTTAGACTCTTCTACAGCTTGCGGCCCGGACAACATACCTGTTATAGTCTTGCAGAAGTGTTTTCCGGAGCTGTTGTCTATCCTTTCAAAACTATTTAACAAGTGCTTATCAGAGTCTTGTTTTCCAGCCTGCTGGAAGGCAGCATCTGTTATCCCTATTTTTAAAAATTCTGAAGAGCGATCTGATTTGTCTAACTACCGTCCCATTAGTCTTCTTCCTTTCATAAGCAAGGTTTTTGAACCTTTAATTACCAAACACTTAATCTCGAATCTCATAACCTACTTTCCTACCTACTGATCATTAATATGGATTTCGATCTTCTTGTTCTACGGCTGATTTGCTAACAGTAATAACCGATAGGTTTTATCAAGCATAAGATAAAGGTG